CTTTTGAGTCATTCTGAAGAAAGAAGGAAGGGATGGGCATGGTTCTGCAAAACGCTGAACACGGTTGCTTGTAGCATAGCACGCTTTGATGACAATACATGAATAATGCTGAAAGGGTCAGGAATTGCAGCCATACCAGCTGCTGACCAATGGATCTGTTAGCTTCTTTGAATGACTCAAGATACTCCAAAAGCAAAAACTCCAATGGCAAATCTTGATGTATAGGTCCAGTGAAACGACTCACAGCAGAGCAAGTCAGCAGCTGATAGAAAAGCAAAGGTTTTAGCTACATGTTGTGGACTGGTGGGCTGAGGACAGAACTGAACTTGTGGGTACAGTTTGTGGAGTGACACAGTTTTGGTTGGTGCTGTGCTGGAAAATATTTTGAATTGCTGTCAACATTTAAAAAGCTGGGGGTTTCACATGAAAACAATTCATTAGAGCCTGATAGCTGCCTTTTCCTTTAGACACAACTGTTCTTTTTTTTCCCCCACTGTGTACCAGTGCCAATGTTTACTACCATTATTAAAAAAAAATTATTGAAGTATAGTTAATTTACAATGCTGTGTTAATTTCTGGTATACAGCCGTGACTCTGTTATACACGTATTCTTTCCTGTATTATTTTCCATTATGGTTTATCACACGATATTGAATCTAGTTCCCTATGCTATACAGTAGGACCTTGTTGTTTATCCACCTTACATATACTCGCTTGCATTTGCCAATCTCAAATTTCCAAACCTTCCCTCCCCGCCCCCACCCCCCGCCATTGGCAACGACAAGTCTATCTTCTGCGCCTGTGAGTCTGTTTCTGTTGTGTAGATACGTTCATTTGTGAGACAGAACTGCTCAGTTTTTCACTTTGCCATAGTCTATGCCACTCTCTTAATATTATCCTCTTCTGGTTCTCATTTACAATGCCTAGCTGGTCCCTCCAGTCATTGGAATTTGTAACCCCTGACTTAGATAATGCTGAAGGATGAGGAGAGATTCTTTGTGGTCCAGATTTGGACCCTAAAAAGAAGTCCTTAGGTCTTGAAGAAAGTCAATGGAAAAAAAGCTAGTTCAACATTATCCTAGATAAAAATATTTTTATTTTGATAAAGACATTCCTCATAGATCATATGTTAGAATAACAGTCTTTTCTTTGTCTTGAATTGCATTATAGTTGAATAAGCTTTCACTTACATAACAATGAATATATTAAACTACTCTGATAGTTGCTAAACTTCTCTTCTAAAGGCGAAGAATTCACTTTTCTATGGAAAGAGCTGTGACTACTAACTCATACCCAACTTTGCCAAAAAAAAAAAAAGCAGAATACAACTTGCAGTGACAGTTAGAATACTGTATCTTAAAATGAGGGAAACTTTCAAGGAATTTGATTGCTGTCATCACCACCTACAAATTTGAGACACAGGGCCAGCCAAGATACATGTGTATTTTGGAAAGTTAACAGTATCAGCAGAATGCCACTGTTTCAAAGCATATTCCCTGGTTCAACAATGGAGAGAAATGTCCTCTGTGAACAGACTGTATGTTTTCAGTGAGATTGAGTACTGGGACAGCGCTAGAAAAATCAGCAGAATATAGCAACTTCAAAGGGTTTGATGTGGTTTTCTCTAGCCAGTACTGGAAGTTAACCTTCATTTGGTTGCCCAGACAGTTTCCACTGGCATTCACAAGCCCTCTCCTGGTTATTGTTCATCTCGTCTCAAGGAATTTGAATCCTTCAATGGAAGGCAATTCCTTAGTGGTACATACAGTCAATCCCTGGATCTGGAAGATCCCCTGGAGCAGGGCATGGCAACCCGCTTCAGTGTTCTTGCCTGGAGAATCCCATGGACAGAGGAGCCTGGCGGGCTACAGTCCATAGGGTCACAGAGAGTCGGACATGACTGAAGCGACTTAGCACGCACAGTCAGCTGGTAAGTTTGATTTGCCTTAAATAGCTGACCTCAAGATGCATCAATATACATATGCAAATCTGCATCATTGCTGTCATCTGACTGTGTAATTTTGGACCAAAAGCTGTAAGAGGGAGCTTGATTCTTCCCCAAGTAAGGAAATTGACTCCCCGCCCCTCAAAAAAAAAAATCAGTGAAACACAAAATTAATTTGAGTATTTTATTTATAAATGTACATTTACTATAAAAGCTGTTGCGTTTTAGACAACTTTTTATTTTTTATTTTTTTTACTATTTCTCAGAGTCATTTTAGAATAAATATTTTAAATGAAGGTTAGTGTAACTGATACAGAACATTGGCCCACCCAGAATAGTAACATCATTTGGACGGACTCACATATGAGGTGGATCATTTCAGCTTGTTAAGTCTTACACTGTGTATAGATAACTATAGTATGTATTGCATTAATAACACTACACAGAAAGAATGAACACGCCATGAAAGTTTGCAAGTGAAAAACAGAGTTACCCATTTTTTTTTCCCTTAAGAAGAGACTAGGTTTTGAAATATAAGAAAAAAAAAGATATACTTCCTCAGGAACAATAAATCACTCACTTGCCTCATCTGTTTTTTAAACAAACACATTTACATTGTAGCTCAACGGAGCACAGCATTTTTTTTTTCCTGGGATCTCAAAGATTATTTGAAAAGAAATAGATCATACTCATTATGCTGCATTGGAAAAAACAAGATCTAGTCTGCCCGAGCTGCCATGTAACAGACTCCAAATGAAATATAAATCAAATATAAATAGAAACAGTTGGCAATTAGAATTTAGAAAATGTTGGAGATTATTCTGTGCTGGTGACTATTGTTCATTATGGAAAAGCACATTTTGCAGTTGGAGAATGGGGCTTTATTTTTCTTGACTTGATTCTAGCTTCAATACATGTACAATGAGTCTCACTAAGAAATATGTATAAATGGGTTTGTGAAACCAGAAGAGAATGTGCAATATTCATATAATCCTTACATAACGGATGGAGTTCCACATGTAAAAAGTATTCTATAAAAATCGGTTATGAATGATTCTATTGTACATGTTTTGTGCATTATTGGTGGTGAAGTACTCTTCTAATATCATGCAAAGTGCAAACATCCATATTATCAAAATACTTAATAAAACATGCAGGTGGTTAATCAAAATATTGGACTTAATCTGTACATTTTCAAAATGTTTTCAATTCTTCTTTTTCTTTTTTTTTTTAAAATTTATTCTCCTGTAAAGCAGCCAACACCTCCATGAGAAGTCTTGAGAACTTGGAAGTGACTTCATCTCTCTTCAATGTACTGCATCCATAATTCATCACTATGTGCAACAGCTTTGCATTTTCTAAGGCACAATTTTTAATGAAATGATGTGTAAATTTCAATCTACCAACAAACTCGTCCAAATAACAAAATGGCCAAACTCTCTCCAGTGGCTGAGGAAATTTCTGCACTTACATGGAACCCGCATGCAGAGAACCGTCTAGCAAGTAAATAAATAACTGCTAGCCATACTCAATAAGACAGAGAAAAAAAAATTATTGCTTACGTAACAGAAAAACATCTACTTGATCTTTTATGACTACATTAACCTATTAGGAGTATATCCAGAGTCTTCATTCACAAAATGTCATCTGTCATCTTCACTTATTTGCCATCATTTTAAGGCAGAATAAATTAGTCCCCCTTTCCCCAGTCTTCAGGAAAACAGCCTGGAGATCTAACATGGGATGATTTTTAATAACTTGATTCCTTTCTTGGCCAGATGAAACTCATCACACAGGGCAAAAAATAAACCAGCTCTCCACAAGAGTTCCTTGCTAAACTTCTCCATGAGCAAGGTTCAGAATTCTTGGTTCTGGCATTCCAGAAGTCAGGAGAGCTGGTGATGGATGGCGTGAGGGAGAGCAGGTAGGTATCCAGTGGGGTGGGCAGGGACAATGTGAGTGGAAGTTTCTTGCTGATCACACACGAGTGGCTTCTCACATTGTACGTCATTGGATTCTGTTTGGATGGACTCAGAGCTTTTCCTTAGCCACCCGGGCTTCAGCCCCCAAGGAGAACTTGCAGGCGAGGGTGAGCAGGGGCCACACCTAATGATGGGCTGATCTCGATGGCAGCTTCCATACGTCCCACAAGGAGGCTTTTATTGAATCTAGAGCAGGAAGAGAAGCGAGCAACGAAGCCCTCGGCGATCACTGACCCACCACTCTTTGGAAGATTAAACTTCTTCACGGATTTTGGTAGCAACTTTGGAAATAATGACTGAATTATGTCCCTCTGGTTTCTTCCTACCCTTGGGCAATGCCCCAGAGTGTAAACCTAGCCAATATTACAAGGGTTCTCTCTATTTGATGGTTCAGCCTATATCAATGGCATAATTCCCAAAGGACACAGAATCTAATACTAACGGTACAATAATTTATTGGTATGACTTCCACCTCAAAAGGTAAGTAACACAAATGTTTCAAGATTACAGTATATATTATCAGCCTAGTGACTTTGCAGTAAAAACAAGTTATAGCTCAGAGCTAGATGGTGTGATTTTTAGTTTCTGAAATGCATTAATTGTATGCTCCTGACTCAGAAGACCACGTGTCTCAAATTGGCATGTCCTGCATTTTCTGCAGCTCAATTCTGTAAACATAAAATGTTTAATTCCTAGAAATGCTAAAAAAAAAAAAACCAAACAGGTTTATTGCATCATATATCTCATTAACTCCAAAAAAAAAGAGAATAACATATTTTAAACCATAAGCCTGTTTGACCATGCTAAGACCTCTTCTTTTTGAACTATTCAGGATCATTACAATTCAATATTCTTTTGTATATACTGTGCAAATGCCAAAAAAAAAAAAAAAAAAGGAAACCAGGAAAAACATGAACACTGTGCTACAAAAGAACAGATACCATCTTTTAAAGTAGCCTTTCAGAAATCAGATGAATGCTGTGGAGCCCCTGAACTCGGGGCTTTGTTAAACAACTGCCGGGGGACACCCTCGGGAAGGAAATGGTGAGTGATCTGGAAGCTTGAAAACCACGTCACAATGTTGTGGGTTGGCCAGCACCTGGCGTGAAGAAAACAGAGCAACATTTGGTTACAGTAGTCAGTCATTCTGGATTTAGATGTTCAAACATTTCTGAAACTAGTGATGACCACTGCCCACATCTCTTCCTTCCAGGGAGAAGAAATCTGTCCCACCATGCCACTTAAAGTGTGGTCCAGGGACTGGCTCATATTGGCATCACCTGGAGCTTGTTAGAAATGCAGACTCTTGAGCACTATCCCAGAACTGAACAAGAAGCCCAGGTGGTTCATATGCCCTGTCAAGTTTGGCTGAAGTCCTCTGGATTTCACCCTAAACCAAATAACCTCCACCAAGTTTTCTTCCTTGTTTTCTGTGGCAAATAAGCAAGAAAATAATTTCTATTCTGTCAGTTTCCTTAGCTTGTGATTTCTCTAAGGATAAATGCATTGCAACAGGAGGAATCTGACATATGATCTAGAAACAAGAGTGTTAGATTTAGCAAATAAAATATAGAACACCCAATAAAATTTGAATTTTAGATAAACAATAAAGTTTTTAGTATATATCCCATGGGATATTTGGGATATACTTGTGCTAAATCCTGAGCAAGAGATATTCGGGACATACACATACTAAAAATTCATTGTTTAGCTGAAACTCAAAAACATGTAACTGGGCATCTTGTATTTTATCTGGCAACTCTATCTAGGAAGGATGGTTTGGGCTCCATATTTCCAGCTGAAACCTTCACAAAGTTTCTCCTTCATTTTAGGCATTAGAGTTATGATGAGGCAACTGCAACATTGGAAAAGACCCCCGGGATTTTGCGTTAAATGCATTTCACAAAAGTGAACGATCAAACAGACACAAAGACACGGTCATCCAACACCCAAGCACAAATGGCACCAGTTAACCCATGCGACGGCTTGATTCCTGACAGGTAATTTGCTTTGCACTTCTCTTCCCATTTACATATGAATTTACAATCTGTTTACATTACTTTTAGGAATTGCATTTTAATATGCTATTATGCTGTTTTTTCCCCCTCCAAGAGAAAAATTTCATTTAAATGTGACCAGTTACTTGAAGAAAATAGGATTATATATTCAGGTTTTATTATCCACACAATGAAGTTATTTCATTTCACTAAGAATGCCTTTGATATAAACCACCTCTCACATCTATCCATCTCCCTTCTTAACTTCAGATCAAAACCAAGTAAAAAAAGAAAAAAATGATTTTCAGCCATTTTCCCCACTCTGACTCTTTTACTGCATCTGGGGTATATTCAATCAATTCAGGTGGATTTATACTTCTCTAACCAACTATTAGTCTCTCCCCCTATTCACTCTGAAGGTAGAGTTTTTCCTTATGACACCAAGAAAGAGGTCAGCAGTACTCTCAGATGTGGTGGTCATTCTCCCTGCCATTTGTTGACCTGATTAAAGTTTAGTCTAAAATGATATTAATTATCTGGAAAAATAAATGTGAGAGTTAGGAAAACTTGGAAAAAATACTTGGAGAGAAGGTGGCCAGTCTCTCTTTCAATACTGAAGCATAATATGAAGCTATATTAATTAAAACTGATACTAGAGAATAAATAGGTTAATAAAACATGATAAAATATCCAGAAATAGACCCAAAATATATATGGGAACTTAGTTTAGGAGAAAGTTGCATTTCAGATTCATAAGAAAAAATGGGATTTTTCAGTAAGTTATAGTCACACAATTGGGTAACTGGAAAACAAAATAAATCTAGTATCTATCTTATTTCTTACCCCCACATACATTTCTGATTATCATATATTTATATGCCAAAAAGAAAATTTAAAAAATTCTAGGAGAAATCACAGCTAAATTTATATATAGTCTTGGAGTAGTCAGGGCTTTTCTAAGTAGAACACAAAACCCAGAATCCAAAAAGGAAAAATGAGAGCTATGTTTATGTTTAACTAACTTAAGTTTAGGTAACTATGTTACTTAAACTGAAAATTTATTCTATGAAAAATAAAAATCACAAAGTGGAAAGACCAATGGTAACTGCCCAAAGCAGCAAATATAAAATAAAGGGAAAATTTCCTTAATTTACAAAAAACTCATAAAAAGCAAATGATAATAGAATAATGGGAAAATGATAGAGAAATATAAAAGGTTTTAATAGAAAAAGAAGTATAAATGGTGGACAAACAAATGAAAAGATGCTTAAACTCACTTAAAGTTAGCTAAAGACTACAGATCCAAGCAAAGAGGTTGTATCCCCCCGGCCTAGCAGAGTGGAAATTTTAAAAGTCTGATGACATCCAGAGCTGACAAAGGCATAGGGAAAGAAAGAGGCTCTCATACACCTTGGAGAGAGTGTGCTCTTTCGGGGAATATAATTAGGCAAACTGCCTGAAGATTTAAACGGCATGCGCCTTTTAACTCAGCAGTTCCACTCCCTTGTGGTTCAGACAGTAAACCGTGTGCCTGCAACGTGAGAGACCTGGGTTTGATTCCTGGGTCGGGAAGATCCCCTGGAGAAGGAAATGGCAACACACTCCAGTACTCTTGCCTGGAAAATCCCATGGACGGAGGAGCCTGGTAGGCTACATACAGTCCATGGGGTCTCAAAGAGTCGGACACGACTGAGCAATTTCACTTTCCACTGCTCAGAATCTACCCTGTGGAAATGCTTTCAAAGGTTCATCAAGACATACATAAAAGGCTGTTCACTGGGGCATTTAAAAAATAGTATTAAAAAAACTGGAATTAACAGGAGCACTCCTTCATAGCACGTTAGTTTTAAGTTATGGTAAGTCCATACAGTAGGACTGTACACAGCTATAAAAGAGCCTTAAAAAGAATGAGGGGAAAGAACATGCTATATGAAAAAATTGCCAAGATACATAACTAAGTTGTCTTCCCTGGTGGTTCAGATGGTAAAGAATCTGCCTGCAATGTGGGAGACCTGGGTTCAGTCCCTGGGTTGGGAAGATCCTCTGGAGGCGGGCATGGCAACCCACTCCAGTGCTCTTGCCTGGAGAATCCCGTGGACAGAGGAGCCTGGCGGGCTACAGTCCATGGAGTTGCAAAGTCAGACACGACTGAGCGACTAGCACTTTCACTTTCATCATTAAGTTAAAAACAGCAGCAACAAAAAGTAAGTACCACTGTGGCTGTGCCCTTACCTTTGTGAAATAAAAAGCGACACAGGTAGATGTGTCACACACATATGCATCTGTGTGCGCGCGCACACACATGTATATATACAAACATACATTCTGCCCCTGTCCCCAAGAAATTATTAGAAAGTGATTATGTGGTTGACTGAAGATTTTTTTCATTTTTCATTTTTTATCTTTCTAAACAATCCATTTTTTTCTAAACTTTTATCATTTATACCTTCTATTTATTTCTTCTTTTGAATATAGATACTGGTTCTCTAGGCAAAGAGATAATGAACCTTTTGGCTTGGTCTTACTTAGTACATTTGTATTCTAAAATATATCTAGTGAAATAGTGCATCAAAAATATTAAAGAAAAAATAGTACCTTTAATCTACTTCCAATTACCTATTTTTCATCTTACAGGACGGTGGCAGGAACCCCATGGTTCTTGTCTTTAGATTTGAATCAAAAGCACTTAACATCCTTTATATTTGTATCCACAAGAGAAAAATTGCTGGCCTAGATCCTAAAAGCTAATTTCCGAAAGAAATGACAATGAAACACCCAGCTTCTCAATTAAAATGAAAATCTGGATGAAAACAGCTCACTGTCATCCAGAGGTGGGTTCGGGTTTGTTCTCTGCTGGTATCCTTCAATCCCTTTAAATAATGAAAGAAATCCAGATTTACAGCACCTCCAAATCTGGCTGAACCAGCCTTCAGCCTAACAGCGCCCTCTTCTGGTTCCCTGGCTCACAGGCAACAGGTCATTGAGGCTGCAGGAAAACTCCAATTTGTGTCAATAATAGAAAAAATACTACTTTGAATCCTGGGACAAAAGGGTTTAGTTTTCCCTTTTAATGTAGAAAAACAAAACAAACGAATACAAATATAGTTTAAATAAAATATATTTATGCACATACATATGCTTTTGAGTGTGTGTGCTCAGTCATTTCCGACTCTTTGCGGCCCCACAGACTGGAGCCTGCCAGGCTCCTCTGTCCATGGGGTTTTCCAGCTAAGAATACCGGAGTGGGTTGCCACCTCCTTCTCCAGGGGATCTTCCTGACCCAGGGACTGAACCCCGGCCTCCTGCATTGCAGGCAGAGTCTTTACCAACTGGGTCAGCGGAGAAGCCCTATCCACCATGAGGACTATATTTATGATGGAGACTGAGGACAGATTCAGAGGCTAGCCACCGGCTAGTTTCATATTTTCTAAACAGCAGCTGGGCAACAGCACCCCCTCGTGGCCCCCCAAATTTATTAATACATGACCTGTCCACGTCAGGAGGCCTAGGCATCAGATGGGACAGCAGGTGGCTCAAGGAAGCTTCGAGGCAGCACACACTGGTTCAGCGCTGATTAGTACGTACTACGGCGTTTTGGAGGAGGGTGGGGATTCACAGAGAAGTAAAACACACCGTTTTGTCTCTCAAAGAATTTTCAATTTCGTTGGGAACAAGCCCGCATTATGCCATGAAACCCCTGAATGCAGGCATTGAGGAGCGGGTGCCTGATTTGACGAACAGTGCAGAGCGACTCTTCACGTGTGAGATACCCTCCACATGCTGCTGGCCTCCTAAAGAGACCCCTCAACAAATGAATAGGGCTTTACAGGCCTTACATCATCCCTGTATCTCACTGGAATCTCCACGGTGAGCTCAGCCAATGTCTCAAACTTGGTCTACATTTTCACCTGCTAGTGTATTAATGCCTTTCTAGTTAAAATGAATTTGGCCACATTGCAGCAGTCGTTCAAGTAAGAAAGAAACAGTAAGTAAGGGGTCACTTCATTAGTGTTTCTTTTACCTGCGCTGTGCAGAGTCACTCAGTTGTGTCCAGCTCTTTGTATCCCCGTGGACTGTGGCCCACCAGGCTCCCCTGTCCATGGGGATTCTCCAGGCAAGAATACTGGAGTGGGTTGCCATCCCCTCCTCTGGGGGATCTTTCCAACCCAGGGATTGAACCCAGGTCTCCCTCATTGCAGGCAGATTCTTTACCATTGCTAATAAATCTTTCGTTTAGTGTAGGAGCATCAGCTGATAGGAGAAATAGTTGAATTCCTAAACTGGTCCAGGAAAGGCATGTGCTTGCACCCGTACATCTCAAGGCATTTCCCCCCAAGACTTACTTCTGGATCGCATGTAGCAGTCATTACAGTTTAGAAGACCATTTCGGATCCTAACATCCGTCCCACTCACTGCGTCTCCAAGCTGTCCTTTACAAATTCCACACTACAGGGCAGAAACAACAGAAGTTATAAGGCACATAAGGAGCTGTTTCCTTACAATGCTCAGATACTGTTCACAAGAGGAGCATAGTAATCACTTCTCTGACCTCCACATTTGTCGAGTATCTACTATGTACAAGACGCTGCTCTGCAAGCTGACCTCCAGAAACAATACACTTTTAGCATTACCCCAAGTCCTAACATTTCACGGAGGACAATGGTTCAGAAAGCTTAGGACAAGAGGTGACTTGTCCAAGGTTGTGAAGTTGGTGAGTGGTTATCAGGTTAATCCCAAAGCCGATGCATGCTGACTCTCAAGGTGGAAGACTTGTTTTAAACAGATTAAATTTTAGTGGTTTTAAGTAAACACATGGCCAACAAATTATATATCGAAGCTTGTCTCTGAATGAGGCTTTTCAGAGTTGTTGGGAAGTTCTATTAACACCTGACTATAATTACTGAGGAACAGCACCCCCATCTTAAGTTTCCATACTAGGGGCAATGATATGTGGTTAGCCTGAGTGCAGGAGACTGTGGGGTGCACGGTACTGGCTGAACCAGAGAAGGTGGCAGCGGGGCGTGCTTCATGCCAGCCACTTGCAGGCAGATTATGGCCAAGCCCAGGAGCGAACAAAGGGCCCCAGACTCTAAGGTCACCCGGGGCACAGGGAGGGCTCCATTCAAATTATATCATGAGCTACACCTACACACAAGGGTAAGGGGTAAACCCACATGGCGCGCACCTTAAAGCTTCAAGTCAGCTCCTGGAAGTGAATGGTTAGAGAAAATAAACGCCTTTACAGCTAAGTCCCCTGTCCATTGAGAATCTGCAAAAACTCTTTGTCACCTTGATTATTTCGAGCTCTGGTTAAGTTTCTGAGAATAAACTGTGGTGTTAGAACACATTATCTTGATATTACCATGAAATTCTTAAAAATATATACTATGAGCCTCACAATACTCCAAGATAATTTAGGATATACATTATTTATGTTAATTTTACAACAATAATATTGATAAATTGAGTCTAAGTATCCATATTGTGTTTTGTTCATGATAACTTTTGCTTTCCAGTGATTACTGACATAATTAAGGTAATAATTTCAGAACGGCTTCATTCACTTTCTCTTAGTGTACAGGTAAAGTGAGTTATTTTAAACGTGTGTAAGTTTACTTTATAGCCTAGGGGGGAACCAACAAGAAACAGGACAAAACCTGAGGACAGAAGAAAACATGTCCGCATGATGAAGGAAAAGAAATTATTCTTTTCCAGAGCTAGAGGGTGTAGCTTCGAAAATTATATATTATCTGAAACATGCCCATGGGTGATGAAAGGAGATGCCGATATAGTCTGACTTGTAAATTTTTAGAAATAAATCAAACAAGCATTAAGTGGTTAGCTCACCTGCTAATTGGCAGATCTGAGACTAGATTTAAGCCTCCTCATTTTCAGTTATTCATCAATTCACTCCTCTAGAAATATTTACTGATACCATCTCCTCTAGGTATGCAGAGGAGATAATGATGAGCTAGACAGACACGGTACCTGCCCTTATGGAGCTTGTAGTTTATGAGAAGAGGTGATAATTAAACAGTCCGATCGTGAGCAATAAGGAGCATGAAAGTTTCTGTAAGGACCTGTAACAAAGGCAACTTGACTCAGTGTGCTGAGCAGGGGAGCTCCTAGAGGAAGTAATGTTCCATCTGTGATTGCAGACACACTCATGTGGAGATCTACAATCGAGCAACCATTTAATTGAGGGAAATCTCCCATCAAGGTCAAAGACCAAAAACCTCTGAGTTGTGTCACAAGAGTCTAAGAAGAAGCAAAGATGTCACATCCCAAATAAATCTGCCCTGCCTTTAAAGATTCAGGAGTATCACTGTCCTGCTGGGTGTCTTGCTTAGCTTCCTGCTAGAGCCTACACTCTTTAGCAACAAAAAAAAACAGTTTTACAAAGACACGTGGCACATATACGTCTTGCTTCTTCTAACCCGACATCCCAGAGGGATGCGTGATAGAAGGATTTCATCCTCAAGGGTGGACTCCATGCCCATTTCTGGACAACCTAGGGCTGGGGGGCCTCACACACAAGGGCTGTTAGGACTTCCAGGAGGTGCTTACTAAGCACAGAACAAGGCCAAAACACATGACGAGCCTGGACTCAGGGAGGGGCGTGACAAATACGTACCTGAAAGCACTGGATGTGAAAATACAGACTGAGGGTCTCAATGATCATAGCAGCGCCTTTGCCTAAGGGAAGCCCGCACGAAGAGCACAGCTTCTTCCCACTTACAGACCTAGGGTGCAAAACACACGGCATAGTAAGATGCACTGTTTAGAATCTGGAGCCTCACGCAAAAATGAAATGGAACATGGAGCCTCACGAATATGGAGCCTCAAAAAAAAAAAATGTTTTTTTCAAAACATTGATATCATGAATGAAATGACGAATACTGAAATGATAATGAGCAGGAATTAAGCATTAGCTATAAGATGGTGATAATTGATAGATTAAATACAGTAAGCCTCTGCTGTGGCACTCTGTGGAACTCTGTATGCATGAATTATTTGTTTTTTTTTTCCATTTATTTTTATTAGTTGGAGGCTAATTGAATTATTTGTTATAAAAAGTTTGTGCTATAGTCTGTTCAAGCACAGTGATCAAATGCCTTGAAATGATTCAGTGTATTTATCATATGTTTTCTTAAATCCTCAAAGACAATCAAGTTTAGCTTTACTAAGGTTTTAGTTGCGTTAAGTTTTTCTGTACTTGGTTCATTGGCCCACTAGGGCATTCCTTTTTATTTATTAAAATTTTGTTGTTGTTCCTTAAAAGTAAAGAGGAAATCGGGATCCAGTCTAACAGGTACCAGGCAGATATAGGATCAAAGCTCTGCCCTGACACCAAGTTCTGCGATCGGGTGTGAAGAACTCACATTGGGTTTCCATTGCATTGGCTGAGACAGGATGGCTGTGCCCTAGTCAGCTTTCCCACAGCGAAGGTCAGATTGCAATGATGCCGACTGTGAGGAAAACTCTCGGAATTACGTAAGAAACTTTAAAACATGCAGTGTCATTTGGAAGTTAACATTATACACAGGGAGAGAAGAAACAGGAAGGAAGACAAGAGGAAAAAAAGGAAGAGTTGCCCTTCACAGAACTCTACGTATTAGGATTTCCCTTTCTCCCGCAGTTAAGCGAAATTTCTGAATCAAAGAAAACCCTGCAGTACTTAGTAATTTGTTTCTCCAGGGAAGGGGAGCTCAGGCAGCTTTTAAGAATATCATGGGGCCCAATTAATGTCCAGAAGCAATCACTGGAGAGCTGGAGGAGAGAAAGAGGGAAGACGAAGTTTCGTTTCTCAGCGCCTGCCTGGACCACTGTGAGAGCCCTCGGCGGATTCCGCCTAGAAGGACCGAGCCTCCTTGGGGGGAAAGGCGCCGACTTAGAAGCCTGGCAATTGCCTGGTGGATTTTCTTATTAGACTACAGGTTCCACACAATGTAATTAAAGCCGATGGCCGCAGTCGGGCCAGCGCCACACGCTTGGTGCTCTCGGTCGAGGGCTGATAAACCCTTCAGGCGGATGGCGTGTGTTCCTTTGTCCTGCCTCTGCGTGTGTGTAGGAAGAGACACGAGTGGACAAATCCACACGGGCCCCTGGCAAGCACGCATTCGGTGGTGATGGTGCGCAGCAGGCTCCAGCCAAAACAGAGCAGCCTCAGAAAGGCTTGCTGACCTCTTGTACCTGTTTGGTGACTGGCCAGGAGGGGTGGGGGAGCAGGGGGACAAGCGCCCAGCCTGGAAGTTCTCTCGAGGGCTTTTCCTGTAACATGGGAAAGGAGCCAAACATCATAAGTAAACAGAAGCCCAGTTCCACAAGAAAAGACATTTTAGAAGAAAAAAAAAAGCTCTCTTCCTTGACAACCAAGTAAAAGACCATTGCACATCCTGGTGGTAATTTTTAATAAAGAGCAAAAAAATAATTCCATCTAGCAGGCTTGTTCAGACACTGGCTGAACTGGTATCATATCAAAACCAGGCTGGCACTGTTGAATAGAAAAGACAAAACAATTTTCTACTCTTTATTTTTGCCAGGTTCTTTGCTAGTTAAAGTTGCACGCTGAGCTAGATATAAAAACTATGAATGGGATGGAAGGGAGAGGTAAGCGAGGCTATAGGGAAAAGCTCTTCAAGGGATCCCAGAAATAAAGAGTAGTGCTTAAAGGAAATATTTTTCGGTGAGGTGGCTTCCACCCTTATTCAGAAATTCATCACAGATCCAAATGATCAGGGGTGATGTTCAAAGCAACCAATAGCCACTGTGTCATGGGCATATCCAAGGCAGAATGGTTGCCAGCCAGAAGCTCCCTCAATGGTTTCACAGGTGCGACTGGTTACACGTGAGCCCTGCCTGTGATCAAGCTGTCAGTTCTGGGCTTTCGCTTTTAAAAGTTAATTTCACTTGTAAAGAAAGGAATAGGACACAGAAAAGAATGAAGGAAAGAGAAATGCCAGCAAAGACATCAACAGGGCGTGATGTCTTGTAACTGCTTTCAGAATAACTTCCTGAGCCCCTGACCTCCCCCAGCCCCAAGCCTCCCTCCCTAGACAGAGCTTGTCTTCTTCAAAATATCAGTTTTTCATGGAATATCCTAAAGTATAAGAACCATTGCCTTGAAAAAAAGGTTGAAAATCACAATAATCAATAACAATGACTCCTTCTATGTGATTTTACCTTCTGTTAATGCTGCATATGTCATCTAGACACAGAGGAATAAAATTAGATAGACATAAGAGAAAAGGGGGAAATGGTTTAAAACTGTGTTGATAAAAAAGTGTTAGCAAGAAAAATCAGATAAAAAGGTGAACTTATAAGACAAATCATCATCATCATTATCTCCATCACTATCGTTATCAACATCATTGCCGACAATGTGTGGTACTTACCATCTTACAGGCACAGAACCCTACGAGGTAGGCGCTTCTACGACTCCCAGTTTATACACGAGGAAACTGGGGCAGAGAAAGATTAGGTGTCTTGCTCAAAGTTTTATGCAGGCAAGTGACAGAGTCAAAATTTTGAATCCAGGTGGTCTGGCTCCTGATAGTATGACTGGTTAAAGTATAATGTATATTATCTTTTTAAAACTGATTACAAGGAAACTATAGGTCAAACGTGACATAATGAAATTGTGGGTTCACTATGAATCCCTTCACCTCTACTCATTCGGACAAGTACTTTGGGTAAGTCATCCAATTTCCCTGAGCCTCAGTTTCCTTATCTGTAAAATGGGGACAATCACTCAATCATGTAACTGGGTGAGTTCAGTGAGTTAATACACAAAAAGAAGAGGAGACAGATATCTGCAAACCCTTCAACACAGTGCCTGTTACATTGCCATGCTTCAAAAATGATGGGAACTATTTTTATTGTAAAAAATGTAATTGTTACAAAATTAGACTAAAGCCTGGGGGTAGTTATTTAAGGAAAGAGAATGGTAAGGAGGGGAAAACATTTTTTTCCTCAAAAGAACATTTGTCCATAGGCTCTGAGACCATTAAACTTGCTTAAATAAATCGGTAATACAACATGCCAGAAAATTCTTTCCAATGTTTAGATTTGTCAGTGAAAAACATTACTTTGTCTCTTTTAAGTTGTTAAATTCAGAGTAAATGCTTACTTGCCAGGAAGATCATCCCAAACTTCATAAGTATTTGTTACCTCGACAATGACAGTGAATGGAGAGAAAGCACAAAAATGCTGCAAACCACCTGCCAATTCTCACTTTTTCATTTTCCCCCTTCTTAGTCAGTTTAAAAGACAAAAAATTCCATATGATTAAACCCCTTCACTGTACACTTGAAACTTCAATAAAATAATTTATTTTAATTTAATTTAAACTTCAATAAAAAATAAAATTAAGAAAAAGAAAAATTCCACAACCATCTTATTTGGTTACTCACTTCCGCCTTTCACTTGGAGACTCAATCTGATGGTTAATGCTTTTGTCCAATGGAAGGGTTTTTGGCTTCACATCTTCTAAAATGTGCATCGGTGGGTTTGATACCTGCTGATTCTGGGATGGATCTGAGGCCAAAGAAAGAACATACAGTTAGTGCTCGGTAAAGCTGCTACCTTCGTGCTTAGGAATCTCCTTTCTTTAAAGTGCGAATGCCTGCTGAGGGCTCACAGTGATCTCGTGGGACGTCCTGGGGCACGTGGTGGGAGTTTACTCACTGTGCCGTTTAGCATCGAGGCCGCATCTGTCCGGACAACGGGGTGGGGAAGGGGTCTTACGACAATAGAAACACGCATGTGTGCTTGCTAATCGCTTCAGTTGTTTGACTCTGTGCGACCGCATGGACTGCAGCCCGCCGGGCTCCTCTGGCCATGGGATTCTCCAGGCAAGAACACTGGAGCGCCTTGCCATGCCCTTTTCCAAGGGCTATTCCCCGCCCAGGGATCAAACACGCATTTCTTAAGTCTCCTGCATTGGCAGGTAAGTCCTTTATCACTAGCGCCCCCGGGAAGCCCACTGAAACGTGGGAGCTGATCTTCTCCATCCTTACCCTGAGCTCGCTGTGGGTTCACCCCATAGTGTGGGGCCCCAGCTTCTGTATCCAGCTGGAGGGAGACGCCTTCTGAGGCAGGGTTCTCAGAGTGAGTCAAGACCTCTTGAGTTAGGCAGCTAAAACAAAGAGATATATTTCAGAACAGGGATAAAAGCAACTGAAATGATTGATCTTATCCCTCAGGACAAGGACGTACCAGTTACAAAATGAAAAGAATGGGGCCACCTAAATAGTCTTATTATTTTAAACTAGATTTAAAATGGGTTTAGAATCCTGTAGAACGCTTTGCATTTTCACTATCCGTCAATTTAACAAATCGTCATTTCTGACATCCGCTCTACCCCCTTGTCCACAAAACTCTTCATTCTAATAATTTTGAGGCATGACAGAGCTAACTATACTCCCCCAGATTTCCACAAGAGAGGGCTTATTGTAGAAAGCATTTCGGCCACATGGGGCTTTGGCAGCCTATGGTAATTCACTGGTCTTTCAGTAGCAAGTTGGACACAACTGAGTGACTAAAAAAATAACAGCAAAGGCAAAGAAAGGAGAGGTGGAGGAGACCTTTTCAAAGTTCCTGGTGACAACACGGACTGTCTGGAGAAATGGCAATAATTCACGTAAAATGTTTACCAGCATCCCTCAGACGTTCTCGACTTGTGGATTTCAAAACTGGAAACGCTCTGTAAATAATTTTAACTGAAAACGGATGTGCTGTTTAAAGGACTCTGCAGGCTCTAGACATGGGCCCCACACTCCAATATCCTACAGTTCAGTGAGTCTTCTAGCTGATGAGCCCAGAAGAATTCTCAGAGCAAGTCCCACCAGAAGAGTTCAGCTCCCAACCAACCTTTCAAATTGGTCAGGATTTGAAAATAATACTTAGATAACCTGTTGTTTCTCTGGCTCCCTCTAAGGATGCTATGAGCGTGTACCCAAGTGTGTATGTGCACACATACATGCACACTTGTCACTATCTATCTGACGTATCGGAGCCCCAGCGGCAAACATTCTATCATAAAGAACTTGCTAGTAGCAGAGCCAGCCTCCTGGGTGATCTGCACAGTCTCTCCTTGTTTAAAAAAGGTTTTACCTATTTAAAAACTAAACTATTTTTATTCAATAGCATAAGGACCCTGGCTTCAGAGCTGTTAGAATGTGTTCAGGCAATGATATATGGATAATGTGTTACTGGAAGACAATTTCAAAGCTGAGTATGGCTTGCACTAGTGATGGCGGGAAGGGGCATGGCCCCGCCGCGCACACACGGATGAACAGCCTGGACCGGCCCATACCTGCCCTTCTCCTCCGGTGGATCGCCTCCCCTAGTCTTCAGCAGGGAGTCACTGTTACCCTCCCGGACTGGTCTCTTCTGTCTTGTCTCTTGTTCTCCCTCGCAACAGTTTTCCAAGTCCATCTTATTCTAATGGGGAAATCAAGGATAATCTTGAATATAATTTTTAAACATACTGGACAACACTCATGTCTGGCCATGGAATATTTGAAATGGTTTTCAATCACACTGACTACAGTTTAAAGAATGGTTGTTCAAATCAACTGAATGGTAACTGATTTCCAATAATTTGAAATGAACATGCAATCTGGATCTCTCTCAAAAGTTATCGCAAAAGGGATTTGGTTAGAAAACCTGTCTTCCAAAATAAAACAAGGTCATAGGACTGCTCATTTAGGAACAAGTGGCTTCAAGTACCCATGCGTTATTTTAAAATGCAGATTATGGAGTACAACCTTTAAAACTACACAAAAAATTTAATTTTAAATTTTAAAAGTGTTTTAAAAGTTTAAATAAAAAATTCAAAGTTCGGTATGTGTAAATGGCTGGTGCATATTGAAAAGTTAGTTGTCGGACAGTGTAGAATTCCTTTGATTACGATTATAAACAACTTATTTTAAAGTCTACACAATGTTTCATAATTATTGCAATATATGAAAGAGATATGAAAGATTTGGCTTTTGTGATGATCTTTGTTATACAACAGCAAAGATAAGCAATATTCTGAGCTTGGTGAGTAACCAGGCAATACCAAATGTAGTGAATTTCTTTTTTACAATCTGTATTAAATTAAAATTGGATAATTAAAAAAAATATAGTGTGTTGCAGCACACATTAATTGACTATAGAAACAACAAATATGACATATACCCAAGTGGTATTATGTTCATTGCAAAATGAATGTATTCTGTTATTTATATCATCAAAAACATAAAGTGTAGATTATGGACAAGCAAGGTCTTGCTAAGACATTTGTCCACTACCTCCATGACCTTACTTAGGGGATACAGAGTTTAGACCAGCCTTTCTGGACTCTCTCCAGCCCTTGGAGACACATATATATCTCATGTGGAATTTCAAGAGCTATTTAGAAGCAACTTCTGTGGAGGCTGGTGTGAGCATATTGTTGGCTTTGCTGGCATCATGCTGCTATCATCCAGGGCAAAGAGATGAATGGTCTGGCAGAGAGAAACACACGTCCGCTGAGTGAGTGAATGATGGGCAGTGAGAAGGACATTCCAGCCCACGGCTTAGCTAACCAGGGTCGTGCCAACCAGTGCAGGGGCTTTGGCTGCCAGCCTGTGCGGGCAGAGCGGGCCTCAGTAATGCGTGCGCTGCGTCTTAGGGATCGACTCTAGGGTGTGGCCGTGGCAGTGATGGTACCATGGGGTACCACGGCCATGTGGTAGTTGACATGATTCTATGGCAGTCCTGTGTATAAACTGGTGGGAAACTTGGCCTTGTGGTTTTGTATTTTTGTTTTGGTTTACTTATTTCATGAATTGCTTTAAATCTATGGTCTCACCACTGTCCCACTGCCTTCTGTCACGGAGGAAGATGTAGAGAGCTGGTCTGCAGAACTTGAAGAAATAGTAAATGGAACCACAGTGTCCTCAATTATTTTCCGCTCCTAGGAGAAGGACAAGAATTAATGAAAGGGAGAACAAGGAAAACAGTATTTGTCAAGAGAAAAGTGTCATTAAAGGACTTTAGGGAAAACCATCAGAATTATGTACAAACAAGCAGTGCATAAAAAAAGGTCTTTTAAAATCAGATAGCATTCTCTATGGTGAATGATTAATAAATTAGCATTTAATTTAGAAAAACAGTCTTTGCAAGATAATTAGTTCATATGATTCAAGAAGCCTAATTAGAAACGCTATTGGGGGAGGACTATCCACAAAAATTATTGTTGAAGATAAAATTCACAACAATATTAACCATAAATTTTGGATAATATACATAACGTATAGCTTCAAATTCTTGAATATGGTCTGGCTTGTTCATCGAAAAAAGTGAAACAAACAAAACCAAATTCTCCTCCCTTCCAAATCTCTTTTGTTTATGGTGAATGCAGTAGGAAGGATTCACTTAGCTTTGATATCAAAATTATCCTTGCAAAATTAGTATTAATTCTCTACTGCCAAACACACAAATAATTCCCTAACAAACACACAGATAAACAAATTGATACTTTCATGTCTTGTAAGACAAATAAAAACTCTGACCTCTAAAGAAGAGATACACTTCTATCCCCTCCCTTGACTGTGACTCAGCACACCCTCACCACAAGCTAAATCTGGGAGAGCAGTGGTCTTTCACAGCCGACAGGACTCTTTTAAAAAAAAGGCTGATGTGGGGCTCCACTGTGAGTAAAGAGATCAAAGATAGCCCCACACCCCGTGCAGAATGGACACACAAAATCTGAGCGATTTTGAGGCATTCAGGCTTCAGGGTTACATTCCCACTAGGGAACGTCCTACCTCCTCGTAGTATCTGCGTTCTTCTTCTTCCACTTCCTTTTGGGCCTTTTCCCACTCTTCTTTCAGCTTGTCCTGCTCCTTCTGGTATCTCTCCTGTTATGGAATTTCCATAGACTGTTGTGAATTGACCAGAGCATACAGCCCTGCGACCTTCCCCCAGTAAACCATCACATACAACATGTTGCAAAACTCTCTTCTTGTTGTAATGTTCTGAATCCTAACCCACTCATGCACCCAAAGAAGAATGCCATTTCGTGGTACTTAACCATGTTAGGGACATAAAAATCCAAAGAAGAACAATCTTTACTGCTGTGGGTATTTCATAGAATTGTTCCTCAGATATATGAGTAGATATTTGCTTATGAAAAGAAGACAGATGAAAAGACTAAAATCTTCTTAACTTGCATTTTAAGAGACAGGCTAAACCAATAGTTTGCTTTTACTGGGCCCTACAGAGATGAGCTTTGCCATTCCGCTAACAGAAATATATTGCTGCTGGGAGAGTTTAATAAAAGATTTTTTAAAAATATCAGAGGTTTACAATACAGATGATGGAGAAAGGTCCAAAGTGGATGAAATGATAATTAGTTGAGTGGCCATTCTACTAAAATGAAGTCTTCCTGGCTTTAAGTCGTCCTGAATTAAGGATAGCTTTTAAACAGCCCATTAGAAGGTGTCCATATCAGAACTGCTCTTATTGTTTTCAGAAAAAATATGACACTAGTCACCTCTTCTGGGGAACAAAGCAAAAATACTCGAATTCTGGAGAGCTTTAAAAACGTGCCTGGAGATGAGAACTGACACGCCTGGATGCCTTGGGAATGGCGTCCCTGACGTGACAGAGACTCAGGACTCGCTGGGGCGTATCTTAGCACACACAGCCAACATTTCAGGCTGATTGCTGTCAGGACTCTCTCTGAGGCTGACAAAGTCTGTGCTCTCGCCCTCTAGGGAAGGCACTGAGAATTCCTCCAGGCATTACTTGCTATGTCATTACCTTAGGAGCGAAAGGGCTTAATGGAAACTAATGTTTATATTCATGCTCTGGCAAAAACCATGGCTGGTCAACCCATGGCAGGCGTTTAACTCCAGGTCAAAATTTTATCAAAACCTAATATTGTGTAGTTCTAGACAGAGACGCCAGGGAGCCTCAGAATAGAGGAAATAGAACTTCTAACTTTACAAAACCTGAAAAACAAGCAAAGACCCTTAGGTTTCTCAGTTCTAGGAGTCGATGTCATGTCTCCCTCACCAAGAGGATGAATTGACGATGTCTCCCTCACTCAGAGGGGAAAGGTGGGGATGTCTGTCACACACACACACCCTTCCTTCCCCATAAACACCTTAGCCCCCAGCCTACAATCCACACCGAAAACCACGGCCACCTTTCAGAGTGTAGCAGACACAGCGTCACCACGGGAAACATGGGCATCTGATGTCTAAGGGACGAACAGATGCCCAGGGCTGGTCTGATGCCTCCCAGTGGACCTAAAAGTCCCCACCGCTCTGGGACTTTGCTGACTTCAGTTCTCACTAACATTTGGCATTGAAAGTTTACTCCTATGAAATTCTGAAAAAGTGTCAAAGTGAAAGGGCAGACCGAGAGCCACACTACAATGATCGAGCGGACACTTGCTCCCCACCCCTGGGAATTAAGCCGAAAGGATAAGAACAAAAATATAAGGAAAAAAAAAAGTACAGTAAACTTGCATGAAGCACTGCTTTCTACATGTCGGCAGAACACCATTGGGAATATAGTGGAAAGAACAGAGTCATCCAGCTGCGGATTTGAAACAAGGCTCAATATCTGTTAGAAGTGTGGCCTTGGGAAGATGACCTTTTTTTGACCCTTAATTTCTTTAACTGCAAACCCAGACTAATAAGACATACTTGGGCAAGTTTCATGAGGACTAAACTAGACAGAGCATGTCAAGCACCCACAAATATGCCAGTTCTGGCACACCCTGAGCTCTCAGCATAGGCTAGTTTCTGAGGTTACTTGGTTCTGTTCTGAGGAACATTGCTCCGCAAACCTGGCCCCAAACAAGTAGGAGCACGATACGCTCACTCCCAGAATTTTTCTAGAATTGAAAATTAGGAGCATTTGCTTAAAGATGGAGCAAGTACTTCTACTTAAGGTATAAAACTCAGGTCAAATGTTATTTCACATGTATGCTCTCAAATAGCTTTCTGATTTTTCCCCACCCTTGGCTGGACTAGAATTTGACTGGCAGCTAAGGAGATGAAGAATGGGTCGGTGGGCCCTTACTGAATACCTGAATTTTTTTCCAAGTGAAACTTTTTTTCCTTATGTTCATCTGTGTAACCTCTGGTGGGAAGAATTAGACATTGGGCATTCTGTCTCGTGGGCACAAAATGGATGAACTTAGGCTCAACAACTTCTGAGAAGAAGCTGAGCCCATGCATCTCTTGTGCTAAACGACTATTTAACACAACAGGAATTAGGAGAGCATCCCTAAACGAAGGGGAAAAGCTGCAGACCTACCTGGAGCAAACGTTCCTGCTCCTGCTGCCATTTTTCCTGTCGCCTGCGCTCCTCTTCTGGGTCCCATGCCCAGAACTTAAACTGCTCAGAAAACAAAACCATGATCAAAATTCAGCCATGTCCTTGAGGCCAGGCAGGGACAAGGGACACAATTAGCTCTTGGTCTGATACTCAGATGGACATGCAGAAGCAGACGCCTTCCCATATCTAAAGGTACTCTTTGTTGGCAGAAACTACCTTTTTTTTTTTTGGCTTTGCCACTTGGCATGCAGGATCTTAGTTCCTTGACTAGGGATTGAACTCATACCCTCTGCATTGGGAGCATGGAGACTTAACTACTGGACTATATGGAAACCACTTTTTAGCCTTAATCCCTCTTTGGTTTACTTCCAGAATGCTGGTATTCTTTGAACGGTTTTGGAGCTAATGAAAACACAAAGTAATTAGCCACTGGCATGGGAAGGCTTTTGCTTCGTTTCTCTTAAAAGCGATTTCTTAAATTTATTCACACTCCTGAGCATAAGCTACTCATTCTGCATACTGATCCTGAGTTCAAGCAAATAGGCGTGCTTATCTCAGCAGGACTGCCCAGGGCCTGCATAAGAAATACGCAAACACAAAGACTTTTTTTTTCGTGGTCTTTTTTTTCTCTTACGTTATTTTATTTTTTTATTGAAGGATAACTGCTTTACAGAATTTTGTTGTTTTCTGTCAAACCTTCCTTAACATGAATCAGCCATAGGGATACATATATTCCCTCCCTTTAGAACCTCCCTCCCCATCTCCTGTCCCATCTCACCCCTCTAGACTGATACAGAGCCCCTGTTGGAGTTTGTTTGGGTCTTTTAAACAGGTTTTGTGTGTGTGTGAGAGAGAGAGTGTGTGATTTGGGGAATCAAGTGAGTGAATGGAAATAATGGGAGCAGTATGCATAAACCATGGTGGGCACCTGGGCCATGGAAGATGAATGAGTTTCAGAGCCGAAGGGGGAAGAAAAACCATAACTGGTCCTTAAAGTCAGCCACAGTGGACAGACGCCTGTACTTAAGGCTGGCCTCCCCTTCACCCAGAGTGGGTGCTGAGCAGAAGATGTCTCCTCAGCCACTGTGCTCTGCACTCCCTCTGTTCTGACGGGCTGGTTTTGGGAGCCGCATAGCACTGTCTCCGAATCCTGAGAAGGAGCGGGTAAGGGTAAGCGGGTAGGGAGGACGGGAAAGAGTCGGGGCTGGTGGGTGGCGAGCAGACTCCACCCGCTGTGGCTGCCTGCGGAGCAGGACAGAATCAACCTCATCCAAGCTTTCAAGGGGCCGAGTGAGTGCCAAGATGCCTGGGCCAGCCCACCCGCCATCCTGCCCTGCCCACAGTTGACCAGGCTACCACCCAGGAGCACAGTGGCTGGCCTGGTCATGAAGCATCTTCAGGCCGAGAATGTGAGCCAGGCCATGCGTGCGGCTCGGTTTTTAACATTATAAACATTTATAGCTTTAATGTACTTAGACATGTGAAATGTGGGCCTCAACCGATACTCATGCTGTGGGTCCTGCAAATGGCAGGGATGGCCACAAAAAGTCAAAAGAACATCAAATTTAGGTCAGCATTTTCAGGGAATTCACTTACATAGGTCAGTAACTTGTCTCTTTCTTATTCTATTTTCCATACCTTAGAAATAAGAATGTATCTCTCTAGGACACCCCTTCTTTCCACCGCTGCCCAGGGGGGACAAGAACAATTTGACAGTGTTGTTCTTGTGTCATTAAAATGGAGATAAGTGAATTATGTTATACTGGGTGATGCGACCCTTCTCCACCCTGAACTTAGGAATTCCTAAGGTGAGACAATTTACCCACAGAGACGAATTAGCTTTGGCCATGGTGGGCCTCTTGGATCAGCCATTGGGAAGGATTCGTTCATGTTTCAGGCACTATGCTAGAGATCTGTGTGTAATTATTTCAAATGAAGCTCATAACACTCTGCAAGGAAAGTATTACTATCTCATTGTATGACCAAGGAAGACAAGTTTCAGAAAAGATATATAGCACCTTCAGAGTCATGTGGTTAGCAAGTCTGTAATCAAAGGCACAATAATGATTGTGTGGTGACACCTGGGTCGTTCAAGAAATGCTACAGGTGACTGTCCCGTAGAGGAAGGCTCCAGATTCGATGGGAATTTCAGAGAGTGAGTGAGGGCGACAGGCCCAGCACCAGAAACACTCAGCTCAGAGAAGAGTCAGGTCTACAGAGAGTGTTCGGGCATAACTCAGCGGCAGGGAATTTTCACAGTGTCATGTGACTTGACATTTTAATTAGCAAATGATTTTTTTCATTTCATCAAAAATAAAAAATTGAAAACTAAATGTACAGTTAATATTATTCAAGATACTGACTGTGAGGAGTGTAACTCAGACAGCTTGGGTCACCCAGACATGTTCCAGGCTGGGCCCTATCTGCCAGTAGTATACTGTGTTAATGTACTGTCCCACTGAGAAAACAATTTTGAAAAATATAATTTTTAGTTAAAAAATTAAAAAATGATTTTTGAATGCCTAAAGAAGTTACATATTTTCTTACTTTTTGATTTTAGTTTTGATTTTACTTTCCTGACTCACCATTTTGTTTTCAACTTTGCAAAATGATAATTCGTGTCTTTCTTCATGATTCAACTGACAGCATTATACACAACTTATACAAATATTCTTTTCCAATCAAAAGTTTGAAGCCCATTTTGGATTGAATCCTAAGTGAATTAAATACCTTATAAATTAAAATCCACTAAATGCATGATCTTATTTCTTAACAGGAGTTACTTACAGGTGTAGTTACAGGTGACTTTTCACTACTTGGAGAATCCACTGTACAGAAAGAAAGGGAAAAAAGATCACAAGGTGAGAACCTTCTAATTGTCTTTCTTTTTTGATCCTCTTCAGTGGAGTGTGGTTCCCATGTCAGCTTCAAACCAACTTTTTTTTGGTAAGCCAAGAGCACTAGAGAATCACAATAAAGCAGGCCTCTGAAGCAGCTTGCACCCATCACCAAGAGAAGTCACGACCGGTATAATATGATTGGTCACGTCAATTAGCACCAGGTACTAGACTACAGGAAGCAAAATCGATTCCTCCGAGTGCTGCTTTAATGCACCTCACGCTCTGGTTGACTGGCAGCCCCCACTGTCAGACGTGGAGGAGCCCACCCAGACGGCAGACGTCATCAGGAGTAGAGAGGGGGACACAGTTAGCAAGAGAACCGTGAGCAGGTCCTGCTAAATGCTGCCAATTTTTATTTTAGAAACAGAAGAGGACCATAAAGAAAGAGGTAAATATTGTTTCTTTGGATTTTCGAAATCAAAGTAAAATTCCACGGACGTCCCCCCAGTTTTAGCATTAACGGGTGCGGACATCAAAGGATTAACTCTGCTTCACTGCGTGCCCGAAACAAGCTTTCCACGCCCCCTCTGGAATCAGAAGTGAAGAAAGGAACCAGAGAGCGCTGGCTGCCCACAACACGGATTTTTGCACAAAAGCAGCAGAGCTGCCCAGGATGCATTTTACCTGACCGGGAGAAAAACCGGGAGCGTCGCCAAGAGTTCTGAACTCTCAGCGGAACGCCGGCAGTGCCAGGCGACTCTAGATGAGACGGCAGAACAGAACAGACAGAAAACCGTGAGAACAGGGGTGAGACTTGAACAGAGCCGTGCTCCCAAACACCAACGGAGGTCTGGCTGTCGTCCACACAAGGACCGAGGGGGAAGAATCTAAAGTACACCTTTGTGTATCAGCAGACCCCAACCTTTCCGGCATCAGGGACGGATGCTATGGAAGACAATTTCTCCACACAGTGGGCGGGGGGGATGGTTTCAGGATGATTCTTATAAGGGGTGCACAGCCTAGGTCCCCCGCATGGGCAGTTCACAGGAGGGTTTGCGATTCTATGAGGATCTAATACTGCGGCTGATCTGACAGGAGGCAGAGCTCAAGCAGTGATGTGGGCAATGGGGAGCCGCTGTCAACACACCCAAAGTTCACTTGTTCGCCCGCTGTTCACTGCCTGCTCTGCAGACTGGTCCCAGTCGAGGACCCCTGTTACATATGTTCTCTGTAAGTACCTATATTTAAGAATCTAAGCATCAGCATAAAACAGATACAAAACCCAAAGATGTGGACAAAAGTCAATAGATGGGCAAGTTTATGCTATTGTTTGTCTTGGTTTTGGTTTGGATTTTAGGGGCTCATACTTAAAGGTGATACTTCAGATGCTGAATCTCAATATGGAGGGAGAATGTACTATGCCAAGGGCAAAATGCATAGCTGACGTTGCTTTTGGAGAGCACTAGAAAAAAGTATAAAAGACAGCAGAGATGAGTTCAATTATTTTTACACACTTTATAAAGGTTATTATGGAAGTCTGTGGTGGCACTTACATACGTGTGCAGCAAAAGGATGTATATGCGTGTATCTCTAATGGGGTAGCATCAAACAGACAGAAGCTCAAGGCAAGCATTTGCATCCTGAACGTTTGTGTTGGGCTCATCTGTCATCATTCTTGATGCAAATAAAGACATTAGTTTTTAAAATGCGCACATATTTATCTGAAACATCCATTTGAGCTATTTTTCTACTATGGGGAGACAGGTGAGAAAAGGAAATTGTCATCTTTAAATGCATTTTATGAATGCTTTTGGAGTATTTAAAGATTACTTATGCACTGTGTATGTTGGAGGGAAATCTGTGGAGCATCACTAGGGCCTCCAGTAAATCTGTGGTAGCCTGTCTGATCGGCCGAGAGACAGAGGACTCAGTGGTGATGGTGCTGACATCATCGTCCTGGGGACAGAATATTAGGTGTGGCTCCCAGACTCCTGATCCCAAGCCTACAGGCTCCTCTGGACTTGACATGCAGCCTGACTAGTCACTTAAATGTGCACTGACTTTTTACATCTGGGCAGAGCCTTAAACTTCCCCCCAAATTAAAGACAAATCATGTCTTTTAAGAACACATTGATTAGAGGCCTTTTGCTTCCTGAAAGATACAAAGAAAGAACTTGATACATTCCGAACAAGTATCACTGTTATTTTTACATCTACCAGTGATGTCCTTGGTGCACAATTTAAACACATACTTCAAGCCAGTGGTTTCCAGAGTATGATCCCTGCGTCTGTGGCATCAGCCTCGACTTGGGGAACTTGTTAGAAATGCAAATACTGTGGCCCCAGGCCCGACCCACTGAATCAGACATGGCAGGGGTAGAGCCCAGAAGTCTGTGTTTTAATGAGTCCTACAGAGGACCCTGCCATACACTCGTGCTTGAAAATCACTGCGTAAGCTATATCTCTATAATATACACACTCCTCTTTTAAGGAGAGCATTTTAGAAAGGTTTATTCCTGCCTGGCACCTTGTTTTACACTTCCACTCCTATTCAACTGTTCTGCAGCCCCTAGATTATATTATAGTGCTTATTCTGGGCCAGATATTAAGCAAATGCTTTTCTCTCTCCTTTTTTTGTTTATCCTATCTAATTCTTCCAACGGCCCTATGAAGTTTGAACTATTATTATTTCCAGTTTACAGATGACAGACTAGAAAGAACTTAGTGGGTAAAATCATACATATAAGAACCAGAAGAGACAGAATCTGAATGTGGGCCTTCTGTCTCCAGAGCCTGCAGCTGTAATTACAGTTCCATAAGCCAGACAAGAACTTGGAACACATGTATGACAAATATAATCTCATCTTGAAGAATGATTTTGGAAATGCTCCGGTGCTACTGAATCTTATTTTTAAATCATTCACCTGAGATAAAGCATGAAGTAAAGTCCCTTAATTCAACAGCACATTTTACAAAATTGAAATGCCTTTCAACAGGTAATGAGATGGAAAAATACATAAGACAGAAAAACTATTAATATGGCTTAAAATATCTATTTCCTCTTTATATTACTTATCTACAAAAAAGTGCTAGAGATAGGGCAGAATTAAAATTTAAATGTGAACAATTCCTGGCCCAGTCGGGAGAATTTATTTTTGTCCATTCCCTTCAGGACAGGAGGGCTGAGAACTTTAAATCAAATGCTTTGAACATAGTATTAAACTTGTTTCCACATTTAGAAGAAGTTAGTGATCATCAGTACCTGTGCCAATTAATTCCCTCCCGAGTACTTCCTGCTATGCAGTTAGAGCCTAACTTATTTCCCAGCCGTCAACAAAGACTAATGGAAGCCAATTCAGATTCTGCCAAATAGCTGCCCAGCGTGGAAAAGAAAAGTAACAAATCCCCAGTCACAATGACCTGTACAATCTCTCTTTGTCTGGACTGATAAATCTATAAAATGCACTAGGGAAAGTACATTAAAAAAGAAAAACAAGAAATCTTACAGTGTTTGCCTCCTGAAGTCTAGCCATTTTCACTTCACACCAGTAAAGAGAAAGAACTCACACCAGTAAAGCCAGTGGTCTGTCTCTTGTGAAGCAGTCCCTACAAATCACGGAGTCCTCAGGACCCATCCCTCCACTGTTCACATTCTTAAGGCTCCTTTCTAAGTGGTGTGGGAACATGCAGTCCTTACCAAGATAAAGGGATTCAGGCTGGGCTTCTAAAGAGCAAAGGGGGTGCATTCACAAGTAAACAGGGCCCAAAACCCTGGGGAGTTGGCAGTAGTCACTGCATTCTAACACCTTCATAGGTCCTAACACCCAATATTTTTTGAGGCTATCACTCTCCACATTATATCAAAAGTATTCAAATGTATCAAACAAATGATTTCTATTAAGATATATCCTCAGTCTATACATATGTGCACAATAGGTGTATATATGTGTGTATATATATATATTCTTGGCAAAAAGATTTTTGGAAAGATTAGTTTTGGTTATGAGTAACACATTTAATCTATGATCATGAAGGATTTCTCAGTAATCATCACGCATATCCAGGAACTATTACAGAGTAAGGAAATCTGACTTCCTTCCAAAATCACAGTCAAATCATCGACAGTTGTTGTCAAATTAAATGAAGTATTTTAAAGAAGATTAGAGATTAATAATTAACAATTAATGAAGCTGACATGATAAAACTATAAAGTTATTGATTTTTTATTCTGTAATTTTGAAAACATTTTAGAGGCAATATAAACTATTTTCAGGTATTAAACACTTGTGCAGGCCCTACTGTGCCTGGCTGACAAAGTGGTTCCAGCAGCTGGAGTTCCTGGTTAAGCCAAATAGAGAGAATGTAGCCCCAGCTCTCATTCTGATGTTATTAATTCAGCCACCATGGACTCTGGGAAAACCCAATAGCTAAAGGTACAGCAACATAAAAAAAGGAATCTGTCTTTATAATAAAGACTATTTCACTACAAATGGGCCCAGCAGAACATGTAGAACTAAAACAAAACATTTCCTTCTTTTTACCTTGAGAATTGAGATTTGGCAAAGGTGACTGGTTGGTTTCAGGCATTTTGTCTAGAAATGGAAATGTCAGGGTTGCTTCTGGCTCGGGAGATTTTGGCTTTACCACCTGGAACACAGGCAACAGACATAAATATCACAGGTACTGGCCATTAACAAATGCACAGGTGGAATAAAATTTAAAGGTCCATGGCTATTACATAAGTAAATAAGCCCAAACATTAAAACCATAAATAGAAAATGTTGTCCCTTCTCCAACCCCCCTTCATGCTTTCTACATTAATAGAGAGTTCAGTTTTTCATAGAACTCAACCTACAGCATAAAAACTTGATGATCACTTTGTTTCACATTTGATGATCACTTTTCTTCAAACTCAGAAGACAACATTCTGTCTTTGAGATTATCCATCACTCTGTCTCATTTTCTCATTGGAATTAACCAGAGTTTCATGGTACTGCATAATACTGAATTTGTAATGTCAGGAAGAAGACGTTCCACATAAGATTTAAAATTTTTTTTAACTATGCTAGTGTTCAATATTAAAGTAATAATACATTCTAATGGGTATTATTCTTGAGACGCTACATAACTTCCCACAAAGATGTGCAAAGCGCTGTTGAAGAAGAAGCATTATTGTAAATAACCGTTATATCAAACAGTGCCACAGGGACATGGCCCTTGAGGGATTTTTGAAGCAGGTTAGCCCACATAACCTTATGGTAAATAGTTCCAAAAATACAGGCTTTAAAATTTTTTATGTTTGGTTTGTAAAAGTAGATGTTTTTGGTTATTGCTATTGAATGGCCTTTGGTAGAACACCTCCTTCCGACTTGTTGCTTCTAATCAACTGATTGCTGACTGAACAGATAACCAAACTGACAGCTAATATTAAGAGTCAGGGGTCGGCATGAGCAGCGTGGCTGCATCGGTTCGTGTCCTTTCAGCTCTTACAGAACCTTCTCTGATTCATTGGCTGGTGGCCTTGAAGAGATTAATTTGATGATCAGTGAGGTTCTAGGGCACTTGTTTCATCATAAGCTTATCTCTTGTTTGGTCCTCAGGATGATTCAATGTCTAGAATTTCTTCTCTGTAGGATTTTATTTTTCTTGATGACTAATATATTCAACCCTAGTGGAATCCTGAGAAAAATACAGGAATCATTCTGTATTATGGAGGTCAAGCAGGTGTCTAAACGAACTTCAGTGTTAAACATGCAGCAACACTTAAGACTGAGAGTTACCAAAGTGGACAACCCTCAAATCTTAACCTCATACCATTTTCCCCATAGTGGAGTCTGACACAAACCTGTGTCAGATAATGCCTGATTGTAAGTGAAACAGTTAATCATCAGCAGAAATGCTGAAAATAACCACTATGTAAAAGGTCAGCCTGTGTGCACGGCTACTTGGATTTATAAAAGCAACACTCGCAAAGGAAGTCAGAAAATAAAAGCTGTTTCAACCACTGTCAGCATCTTGCCTTCTTTCTCTGAAAGATAACTGTGCGACAGGGAAAGGAGAAGTTCACACGGTGTGAAAAGCACTGGGTCCAAAGACCATTATTCCATTTGCTAATCAACTAGCCGCAATTCTTAAGCTGGGGTCCACAGAGAAGAATCCGTGTGATGATATGTACTTTGTCCCACTTGATACCAAGGAAAACTTGGGAATCCTGTGCATTTTACGGTTTAAACAATATTATTCTGAGAACACTGTTTGCCAGATAGACAAAGGGTCCATGGTGTGGGTATGTACACACACAGAGTTAAGAACCCTTGAAAGCAATGTTTCCATAGTCCTTACAGAAGGGACTCGAGAGCTCCCTTGCCCCTTCTGCCAAGTGAGGACACAGCTAAAGGATGGCTGCCTATGAACCAGGAAGTGGATTCTCACCAGACACCAAATCCATGGGTGCCTTGATCTTGGACCTCCCAACTCTAGAACTCAGAGAAAAATTTCTGTTGTTTATAAGCTACCCAGACTGTGGTTTTCTGTTATAGCAGACCAAATGGACTACACAGACATACTTCTACATACACTTATTATTATTTTTTTTTTACAGTGAGCATGTATTATATTTGTCTTTAGAAAAGTATACACCTTAAAGGTAGGAAAGAGGATCAGGAGAGAAAATAGACCTCACTGTGAGGCCTGCCGCAGCAGGAGCCAGCAGCAACACGAAGCCGCGAGAACCGCGGCCGTACGGGCTTCAGCCCTCCTCACCTTCTGGGACAGCACCAGCTCCACCTTCCCACTCATCTCATTTTCTGGGTTCTTCGGCTCCTTCTCTTCTGGCACCTCATTCTTCAGCTGAGGGCTGGGGGAAAGCTCCACGAAGGCCACGGTCGGGCTGGATCTGGTCACAGTTGTTGTAAAAAGCTGTGGCTCTGGAATGGAGTTACATTCAGAAACACAAAGGAGATGAAAACTGTATAAAGTCTCAGTTCTGCCATATGCAGATGACGCTGAGTACACATCCTGTCCTGGGCCACATGCGGCTGGATCACAGTGTGATGAGAAGTGCAGAAGAGCCTCGGATGCTAGGATTCTCTAGGCCTTTTCATGGTATTATTTAAAAAATCAAGCAACATAAAACACATCAAAGAACCCCACTATGAAAACCTATGTTCTGAATAAGAGTCCCAGTGTACATATGAATAACACTACATGGAACAAAATGCTGACATAGAATATTAAGGGAGGTAGGTTGCATGGGAGAACATTTACAGATAATTTCTACCTAAATTACTATCCAAATGAGTGGCAACCTGACTCTTCCTTTTGTATCTCAATACTTTTTAACATCAAGTTTTCGTAACTGGAATGTGTTAAGGGTTGTGTAGTTAATATAATACAACGAAAATTGTGTTCTTGAATATATAAAGTGGGTGAAAAAGTCACCATCTGAAGGGGCATATTGAAGTGTGGAGGTATAGTCCAGTTTGAAAAAGTGTATGCTAAAATTTTTAGTAATGACATTTCATTTAGTTTAAGGTGCTGTTTAAAAATAATTTGGTATTAAAGGAGGGTGAGAAGTTTTCATGCATTATCAAAAGAAAAATATGTTAAAAATATTGAGATATACTGCTTTAGGAAGAGTGAGTCTCTATTTGAACTCACTATTCATATTCGTAGCATTACTTTATTCTTTTAAATTATTCACCAGTTTTGCTGTTTCAAGATCTATTTTTATGATATATTTTAAACCTGCTATTTTACATTGCTATTACTGTTGTTAAACATAACATTCAGTTTTTAGCATTACTTATTTTGAGAAATATAATCCTTTTGTAATGATGGAGGTAAACTTTCAAAAACAAAATCGGGAAGCAAAGACGCAGGAAGCCTTGCTTTTTTACAAGATAAACCACATGATCACAATTTCCCCAGGACGCCGCTAGGTGGCAGCACAACCACACCGGTTAGAGACCCGCCTCATTCACGACCTTCTTTATTTTCAATCAAGTTTAAGGGTTAGGATTTATCTTTAAAACCCAGTCTGTTACAGAAACAAACCTGATGAGGCAACTTCTGTATTCCCTCTTCCTGCTTCTTCACTATCGTTTTCATCTTCTTGACTGTTCGCTTTCGTCTCTTCAGTGGTTGCCTGAAAGAAAGATGTTTTTCCCACCTTGAGTAAATTATCCCTTCGAAGGTTCTAAAACGTGAAGGCTTCCTTTCTATTTCTTCAAGCAGTAATTTTTAGGCCAACAAGGCAAGCTGCCTACATGAATTCAGTCTCTTCTATTTCCAAGGCAGCTTCACGGTGAAAGGCTGGTTTTGTCGGGAGACATTCCGCCCAGGGCAGAAGTGCTGCGGCGGCTATCACGATAGACAGCTGATGTGCTATCACGAAGGCACACACACCCACTACCTCAGCCTCCTCTGACTGCCTCAAATGCACACCCCCGCTTTTTCCTTCCTTTCACCACCAAATTTTCAAAATCGTAGATTCCACCCACTTGCTCCCAAATGCCTTTAAAGTTGGCTTAGGGTTGAATCCCCAGTGAAAAAAAATATATTTCAAGGTTGCAATTAACCTCTCAGTAGCTTGCCTTCAGCACAGACAGCAGTGGCACTTAGCACTGTGCATTTTATTCTCGGAGGTCTCTCCCTTCCTGGACTCTCAACAACTCAAGTTCCCCAAATTCCTCAGGTTCCCCAAGTCCTGATTCCCATTCTCTCTCCCCTTCCTTCCCTTCCTTCCTTCCTCCTCCTCTTTTACTGGTTATTCCTTTCCTTCTCATTAAAATATGGGTCATTCCTAAAAACTTCAACTATTTTCCTCCATCTGTGCAGGATCACCTTCCAACGCACCCAATTTTCCCATGAATTCATCACGACATTCTCTATCCATTTACGACTTGTACTTTTCACCTCCAGTCCTGAGAGTCCATTAGAGCTCTGGTTCAGCTGAGCTGACCATCAGCATCATGATAAATGATGCTCATCCTCAACACGCTAAAGCTCTTCCTCCAAATCTGATACTGTCTGTTTATGGCATTTGTTTTCCCCAACACACAAACGCAACCTCGAAGGTTTCTTGACTGATACTTCAAGAGGGTCCATCTTTGTCAAGTCCAACACAATAGTCTTCACGTGCATCTCTTTCTGCTTCTCCAACCAGGTCCAAGTTTAGCCTTTCCTTCCTTGGTCTTCCACTAAGGGGACTCTATGATTTGTTGTCTAACCACCTGGCACATCACCGTGATGCTCCTCTCCCTCATCAGCACCTCAACTGTACCAGTATTATGCTTGACGAAATTAGTAACATCAAAAGAATCTGAAACAACCTCAATGACCAACAGTTGGCAAATGGTTGAATGAATTACTGTATATCTGTAACAGCAAACACTATGTAGTTGTAAAAGTGCTGAACAATAGTTAATGATACATGAAAATACTATCCAACATTGTTAAAAAAAGTGACGTGTACATAGAGTATGATGACTACATATATAAGATTTTATATATGCTATGTGTATGCACAAACATACTTGCTAATAAGTATATGAAAATTATATAAAAAGACAGTAAGGAAAACACTAAAATGTCAACAGTGATTATTTTTAATGTTCTTAAACTTTGGATGACTTTTTCTTCTTTTAAAATGTATTTTCTGTATTCCAAAGTGTTCCAGGATTACTATGTTATGTATTGCTTCTGTAATGAGAAAACAAAATCAGTGTAACTTTAAATTACCTTCAGTTGGAAGCCAGTTGACTCTAGAGTGAATTCCAAAATTCCCCCACTGATATTATAGTAAATGAAAAATAAATAAAAGTCTGAATTAAATGTGGGCTAGAATATCCCTCAATAACCAAAGAGAATAAGTTAAAGACTATGGTGCTTTTTAGTAACAATGTCTTATTATAAAGGGTTAAAGTTCAATTTTTAAAGTGTATATGAATATTTTATAAATTTTAAGAGGTTTTTAAGATAAAGAATAAAACTGGTTTCAGAAAAGGCATTATTACTTTGTAAAATACTGCTGTGGGTTCTCAAAAACCTATGAATTTATTGGTCTCTCACAAGTATACATATTTTACTCATAAATCAAAGTTACAAAAATGAAAGCCCTTTAAAGTTAATGCTTTGGTGGAAAGTGGTACTTAATTCTTTAAAAATAAAGAAAATGTATGCAAAGATGTAACATATGCAACATCAACATATGCAAGTTGATAAATGTGATATATCATGTTAATACAATGAAGATAAAAATCATATGATCATCTCATCAGAAAAAGCATTTGACAAAATTCAGCATCCTTTCATGATAAAAACTCTCAACAAATGAGGTATAGAAGAATGTTGTTTAGTTGCTCAGTTTATGTCTGACTCTTTTATGATCCCATGGACTGTAGCCTGCCAGACTCCTCTGTCCATAGGATTTTTCAGGTAAGAATACTAGAGTGCACTGCCATTTCCTTCGCCAGAGGATCTAACTGACCCAGGGATCAAACCTGCATCTCCTGCATTGTAGGCAGATTTTTTACCAATTAGCCATCAGGGAAGCCCATAGAAGGATGTACCTCAACATAATAAAGGCCTTAACTAACAAGCTCATAACTTACATCATACTTAATGGGAAAAAGCTGAAAGCTTCTCCTTTATGATCAGAGCAAGTCAAGGCTGCCCACTCTCACCACTTCTAGTCAACACAGTACTGGAAGATCTAGCCAGAACAACTAGGCAAGAAAAAGAAATAAAAGGCATGCAAGTTGGAAATAAAGAAGTAAAATTGTTCCTGTTTGCAGATGAAATGATCCTGTATACTGAAAACCCTAAAGACTTTCCCCTTCCCTCAAAATGTTAAAACTAAAAATGAAGTCAGTAAAGCTGCAGGATACAAAATCAATACAGAACTATACAAAAATTAAATTAAAAAAAATTCTATTTACAATAGCATAAAAAATAAATACTTAGGAATAAATTTAACCAAAAGGTAGAAGATACGTGTGCTGAAAATGGTAAAACGTTGATGAAATAAATGGAAGAAGACACAAACAAATGGAAAAATTTCTTGTATTCATTAATTGGAAGAAATAATATTGTTAAAATATCCACATTACCCAAAGCAATCTACAGATTTAATCTATCAAAATTCTAACAGAATTTTGAATTTCTGTATTTTTCACAGAAATAGGAAAAAACAACTATAAAATTCATATGGAAATATGAAGGACCCAAAATAACTAAAGCAATCTTGAATAAGAAGAAGAAAGCTGGAAGCATCACATGTCCTGATTTCAAACTATATTACCAAGCTACATCAATCAAAACAGTTTGGTACTGGCATAAAAGCAGACACATAGATCAATGGAATAGAATAGAGAACCCAGAAATCAACCCACACTTTTACAGTCAACTCATTTTTGACAAAAACACCAAGAAAACAAAATGGGTAAAGGATGGTCTTCTCAATAAGTGGTGTTGGAAACACTGGATATCGACATGTCAAAGAATGGAATTTTGCACCATGCACCAAAATCAACGTCTAAATGGATTAAAGACTTAAAAGTAAAACCTGCAGCCACAAAACTCCTAGAAGAAAACAGGGGGGAAACCTCCCTGGAGCTGGTGTTGGCAATGATTTTTTAGATCTGACACCAAAAGCTCAGGCAATAAAAGCAAAAATAAAAAGTGGGACTACATCAAACTACAAAGTTTCTGCGCAGCAAAGGAAAGAACAAAATGAAAGGGCAATCCAGAGAATGGAAGAAAATATTTACTAATCTTACATCCAACAGGGGATTGATATCCAAAATATATAAGGGACTCTAATGACTCAACAGCACCCCCCCCTCCCCCAACAACCCAATTTAAAAAATGGGAAAAGGACCTGAAAGACAGTTTTCCAAGAAGATATACAAATGGCCAACTGGAGTCAGGTATGTGAAAAGAGGCTCAGCTTCACTAATCATTAAGTCGAAACCACAGTAAGACATCACCTCACACCTAGTAGGGATCATTACTATCAAACAAGAAAAAAGATGGAAAGTGTTGTTGAGAACATGGAGTAAACGGAGGCACTGTACACTGATGGTGGGCCTGTAAACTGGTGCAGTCATTACGGGAAACACTGCGGGTTCAAGATAAAAACGGAACGAGCCTGTGGTTCAGCAACTTTACTTCTGGGTAAAGGAAAGGCACCCAAAGGAAATGAAATCAGTATCTCGAAGATACATCTTATTCCCATGTTCACTGCAGCATTATTGACAATAACCAAGATATGGAAACAATCTGAGTGTTGATGGATGAATAGATAAAGAAAGCATGAGTGTATATATATTATTCATATATTCAGATAGATAAATATGTATTTTTTTTTCATTTATTTTTATTAGTTGGAGGCTAATTACTTTACAATATTGTAGTGGGTTTTGTCATACACTGACATGATATTATACACACATATAATTTGTATACGTACACAAATATTAATATTATACACACATATACAGTGGGACATTATTGAGCCTCAAAAAAGAAGAAAATCCTGCCATTTGTGATAATATGGATGAATCTGGAGAACATCATGCTGAATGAAATAAGCCAGGCACAGAAAGACAAATATTGCATGATGTCAGTTATATGTGGAATCTAAAAAATTAGATGTATCTTACATCAGTAAGACATATTCTGACTTAGAGATGCTCAAATGTGGCAAATATGCCCCTTGGAATCAATGAAATAAGATAATCCATGAAGACCTTTAGATACAACTTGTGATGCTATGATGCAAAGGACACAAAGTCCTCATGCACTTCTTCACTAAGGGTTATTTTACGAGCACGCCGTACCGCACCAACATTTTACTTATTCGTGACTAACGCAGAACTTTGACTTTCAAGAATGCTTACGTGGGGATTCCCTGGTGATCCAGTGGCTGAGACTCTGCACTCCCAATGCAGGGGGCGCCCAGGTTCAACCCCTGGTCAGGGAACTAGATCCCACCCACATGCTGCAACTAAGAGCTCTCATGCTGCAGTGAAGATCGAAGATCCCGCATGCCACAACTAAGACCCCAGGCAGGCCAATAAATAAACAAATATAGAGAAAAGAATGCTCACATTGCTGGATGCAATTCTCCGTGGCTTCACACTG